TGGATGATACAGAATTTGACTCACAGGTGAGACAAAGTGTGATGAGGCATACAGTGTCACACTCTATATTTCTAAATTTCTGGGGGAGCATGCCCTTGGTGGCCCCTCCAACCAACAAAACCAATCTTTTGACACCATTACATGAGCACAATGTACACACTGCTGTCCCACACTGGAAAGTAGGCCACTTTAGCCTGAGATCTGCGGCAGGCTAGCTATTTTGTAATACTAATTACTAATAAGTTTCGTTATTGCGGCAGTTCTCCTGCGGCAGCTTGTTGGTGCTTTCCACCCAGGCTGCTGTCTACTGCTGAGAGGTTCAGATTATTCATGCTTGTTTAATTGAGGATTTATTGATCCTGGCCCCTTCTCCAAAGCAGCTCTCTGTTGGCGAGGAGGCCCAATAAAGCAGGGGGGGGGGGGTATTATTGATTTGTGTTATGGAAATTTTTCTTGATTCTTGTGATATTTCATGTTTATGTACAGGCAGTGGAAGAGGCACCTAAAGTGTGTTGTATCAACTGTAACATAAACATCCCAGTTTCATTGATACAGAGTCATCAAGCAGAATGTAATGGGTGAGTAAAAGTACATTACAATGCACTTGTTATAGGGAAGGCATAGGAAGAATTACAGGCATGTACAGTAGAATTAAACTTAAAGGACAAGATTTATACAGATAGTTAATAATTTACTTATTAATAGTTTGTTGGCAAGTTATTAAGAGTGACTGTTCGTAAAAATCAAGCAAAATTCAAAATTCATGGCAAACTTTGAAGAATTCCATTTCTCTCTTGTATAGTTGGTTTGGTTAAATATCATTGTATTCTGAAGAAATATGCAAATTATCGAACACCGCCGAAAATGCCGTTCGGACAGGTGATTTTTAGCCCCACTTTGGTGGGTTTCTATGGACAATTAGAGCACCCCACATCAAATATAATTCCTAATCCTAGTTAAATAATCACTTGACTATCATTTTGGCAAGTTTGGGGACAATCACACGATTTTATACTTTCCAAACAATTTTATTCTCGAAGCCCATATTTTTTTCTTATAAAAAGTCTTATAGAGAATGTGCTCTATCTTTAAATAATTTGAAACTCCGGCGAATGAATGTTGAAATAAAGGTCTTTCATCTGGTGGAAAGGAATCTTTGGGCAAATGTTTGTGTGTGACGTTTCAGGCTATCAAACTGTGGTGAAATTGTACTCCTGCGACCTTTCAGATCAAAAGACACCAGGACGAAATACCATTTATTTTGATTTATAAGTCGATGAAACGGTTTGAAAAAAGTATAGAAAGTATTAATAATGTAAATTGTGTGCAATCCATACCTGTTTTGATGTAAAAATTGCGTTTTATGATCTTCTCGGCTTGGTTTTATAGATGTAGTCCCCGAGGGCATGTTAACCATGGAAGCCACAGGAAGCCCATGATGATCAACATAGATTTTTTAAAAATAAATGGCCACTGTTTCCTTGCATATACTATTTTTTTGCTTTTATTCAGAACTTTTTCATAGATTTTAAGGGCATGTAATTGATTGACTTTCTACATGTATTTTGGCCCTCCCAACGACGCGCATGGGTATCAGTTCAATAGTCTAACTTAAATGGAGGTTTGCTGTTCATTCAAGTCATTAGTAGGAGGAATTTGTTCTGACAGTCGAGATAGAAAACACAAAGTGCAAGTTGTTCCTCTGACATCACGTACAAAAGATATTGCGAACCATCTAGCATCCTTCTCATTTTCTGGTCCACAAAACGAGATAGATCTGATATTGTGTCGAGCGGCAATTTTTAAAATGGCAAACTCTTTTCACAACATGACAATATGTCCACAGCATCGTGCAAAACTTGGATTGGGATGGACAAGGGGATCAGCTAGATGTAGAATACCAGCTGCGTTATCTAACCACGGGAAAGGAAGTAGAAAAATATGGCCAAAGGGAGACAGGGGACTTGGGAAAGAAGATTCTAAACCGTACTACAAAAGACTGGTGTGTTTATTCAAGCTGGTTCTGGTAATTGTTTGTATTATTATTGTTTGTATTAGTTGGGTGCGTCAGTTCATTCATTTCATGTGCATATGTTTTGTTTACTATTACTAGGAATATGCAGGACATGCCGATATAAAATGAAGATGATTAGACCAAGTATTCCCACCACAGCACTTGCGAAGCACAACTAAAGACAGCAACATTACAGGTAGTATATAGGTTATGGTGTTAAAACCTAATGAGGTTTTTCCTTAGCCATGGAAAGCAAATTAAATCAAACACTGTGGCACATTGCCAATTAAAGGGTTGAAAGGAATGCAGCATTGGAAGACTGCTTGGTTAGCCCATTGAGGGACAGCCTCTCCCCTGGAAGAGTAAAATCGTCTGGTGATAGAGAGAATAAAATAATATTAGATGTAGGGCATATCAGGGGGCATGGTTACTTACACGATTAAAATTAATTTGTAGGATGACTCTCCTGAAAATCCATTCAAAACCCTGCAGCATCAACATATCCCAGTTACCCCAATGAGCACTGTGCCATCAACGCTATTCTCACCTTCTGCTATATCCCAAGCCTTCGACCTGTCAATGACCAGCGAATATGATGAGGAACCATCTACATCTACTCCGAAGGGTAAGCTAAACTGCTTTCTTGCTGCAAGAGATGTAAGTCCAATTCGAACCTCAATGATGACACCATGGGAAGAAGCTGCAGGACGAACCAAAAGGCACTATTTATGGAAAGCCAGACAGGTTGTCTTCGCTACCCTTGGAGAAATTGCACCCAATAATTCTGAGATGCTGTTCAGAGCAATAAAAGAAAGGCAACTAGATGAAAATGATAACACGGATTGCATGCTGTTAGAAGCTTTAACAGCATGCTACGAGAATGCCAGCCATTGGAGCAGTCGCAGACAAATTCTCTCCATCTTTGCCGATAAGGTCAGCTTCAAAACTGTTCAATAATGGATTCCAGATAACTCGCTATCGATATAGCATTGCAAGACACCACCTGTTGCTACATGGCAGAGGCGCTGACATTTCTCCCCAGAAACACATCAGAATTAAAGTACCTCCAGAGAAGCTCGACCACTTTTTGGCTTTCATTACCAGTGCAAGGGTAATACAAGATTTGCCCTTTGGGGAGAAAACCTTAAAGCTCTCTACCACTGAAATAAAGATCCCAAACGTCATAAGAAACTCCATACCAGAACAGATAATTCAGCAGTATCAGAGTTACTGTGCGGAGACTGGATTTAGTTCCCCCTTTGAGCCGTAGTAGCCTTTGCAGGATACTAGACGTTTGTTCTGCATCTACCCGCACCTCGCTTCAAAGCCTCGACTACTTCTCAGCAGAAGGTGGCAGAGCATTTGATGACATGGTTACAGTCGTAGATAAGCTAGGTGATGTCTATGAACTTGGTCTGACATGGTCCAAGGAGCAGATTAGAAAGCCGAAACTGGCAAAGCATTACTTTAAAAGTGATTACAAGGTCAGTGCCTTTTAAAGAATTTTTTATTAGACGAAATGCCTTGAGAAAATGATTACATGTTTCGTTCCTTTTCTTTTCTTTCTCCCAATCAAGTTAATGAAAAATTAACTTGGATGTCCTTAACAATGGGCGCCGCGTCCTAGCGCTTTCATCAAAATGCCGTAGTTTATGTACGATGAATTGTTATAGCTGATACATTAATTATGTGATGTTTGTGTTTTTTTCAGGTTCATGTGTCATCAACTTCAAGGGTCCCTGATCATTGTAGACCTTATGCCCTCAGTCTTGCTAACGATTCCAATTTTACCACCACGTGTAATCATCAGCATGATCTAGTTTGTGATAGGTGCAACCTGTTTCCTGCTGTTGTCCAAGAATTAGAGTTACAGGTGGAAAAGGCTAGGATTCCTCACAAAGACAAAGAAGAAATGAAGTTTGTGGTGGCGCAGTCAAAGAAGAACATAGAAGCCTGGAAAGCACACATATTACGCTTCATCAATCAAGATGAGGCCCGCCTTGACATCCTGAAAGCAGTAGATGACAGCTCTGTATTGGTGGTGCTAGATTGGGCAATGAAGTTCATCCCAAGAAAGTACAGAGAGAGCCAGGCGGACTGGTTTGGTAAGAGAGGCCTCTCCTGGCACATTAGTGTGGCAATGAAAAAGCCTCCTGGAAAAACCTTGCAGACGCTGACTCTTGTCCACGTGTTTCAGAAAAGTAACCAAGACAGCCTGTATGTGTTGGCCGTCATCGATGATGTAATCGAAAAGCTAAAGACTGCAATACCTGGGTTGAAATCTGTGAGCTTCAGACAGGACAACGCTGGTTGCTACCACAGCGCTGCTACCATACTTGGGATACATCAACTCGCCATAAAGCACAATGTGTGCGTGCGAATGGATTTTTGTGATCCTCAAGGCGGGAAGGGACCATGTGATCGCAAAGCTGCTTCTATAAAGAATCATATGCGTTCATACCTCAACTCTGGCCATGACATCTCATCTGCACAAGACATGAAATCAGCTATAGAGTCCAATGGCGGTGTACGTGGTGTTGCGACTATACTGTGTGGTCCTCTAACCTGCCCTACTATGGATGCAGCCCTACTTTCTAGATTTTCAGCATAGCGTAGCATTGCTTTATCAAGGAATGACTCCCTCTCGATGGCGTACTTGTGCCTGCCTCCATCCAGATGCTTCCGGAGGGATGAAAACCGTTGGAAGGTTTTCACACATCCATCTTCTGGACAGGTGAAAAGCGTATCCTCGTCTGTGTCGCTGCTGTCGTCGTCGGCGGATGTCTTCGTGTCTTTGTCTTTGGCGACATAACATTTCCTTGGCATGACTTCACAGAATACAAGATTAGTGCTGGGGACATCGGTAATCTTGGTAAGCGATGGAAGTTCAGTCTTCTTCGTTTGAGTGAAATTGCTATAGGGAACGCTTTTACCATGTCCAACGTCATAAGCTCTCCAAACCTTCATCTCCTCGGTCTTGAATTGGATGTCATTGATAAGGCTAACACCTTACCATTTTGGAAAAGGACTAGGGTCAGGGATAGTCGAGGAGATTGCTGAAGAATCAAAGGTGCCTTCGATAAAGATGGGATGGGCGCTAAAACGTGTTTCCACAAGTCGACACCGTTTCAATGAGAAGCAAAAAAAGTACCTCATCGACATATTTCTTCTTGGCGAGCAGACAGGGCAAAAAGCAGATGCTAGTGATGTCTCAAAATCGATGAGAAAAGCGCGCAATGCAGATGGTTCTCTTCTTTTCCTGTCTAATGAATACCTGACATCACAGCAGATTACCAGCTTCTTTTCCCGTACAGCCGCCAAGAAATCGATTCAAGTTACATCAGCTTCGAATCTTGACCTCGACGATGACCTTGATGACTTGGTCTCCGCCATGGCAGAGAAAGAGCTTCAGCAAATGCGTGAAGAAATATTGAATGATATTTCTATCCAACACCCAATCACATACGAATCCTATAACATATGCGAAATGGCCACCGCGTCCAAGCTTTCAAAGTTTTCTATAGCAATGTTACAGGAAATCTGCAAGCACTACGAACTTGACACTTCAAGTATAAAGCAGAAAAGGAAGCAGCCATACATAGACTTGCTGGACGAATTGGTAGAGTCGTGCACATGTTAAATTATTACTATTTTGAATTTTTTAAGAGTGTTTACCACTTCTTTATCATGACATCTTAAGTTAATGAAAATGGTTGCACCATTAAAGTGAATTAAAAAGACATGCACAATAAAGTAAAACAGCCGGATCACAGGTTATGTACACTATTACAGTAAATACATGAATGTACAATAACGGCTTATAATTGTTGACCACAAAGAGAAAGTATTAAACAAATCACACAAAAATTTTAAATTAGAAATTCATATAAAGTCTCTTTTCATTCCAAATATGGCGATATTAAGAATGTAACAAATTTAGGTTGGGCTGGTGGTTGGGGTGATGGGCTGGGATTAGGGAAAATGTCGGCATATATTTCGTGAAGACAAGATAAAGTACATACCTCTGTGGAGGATCGCGGGCTCGGCGCTTGCGGTGATGGCGATCATTTGTGTTCTCGATTGTTTTGAAAACTTGCAACAGTATATAAAGCCCAGAAGATCCATAAAATGCAACTTTAACAAGTAAACAGGTATGGATTGCATAAAACTTACATTCGTTTACATTTTATTTTTCGTTTGAACCTGTTTCATTGATTTGCAATTCAAAATAAACATGTATTACGTGCTTTGACCTCAAAGGTCATAGGACTGACAGGAGTACAATTTCATCACAGTTTGATAGCCTGAAACGTCACACACAGATATTTATTACAAAGACCTTTATTGCAACATTCATTCGCCAGAGTTTCGAATGATTTAAAGATAGCACATTCGCTGCAAGACTTTTTATAAGACACATTTTTATCGATACAAAATATGGGCATCGAGAATAAAATTGTTTGGAAAGTATAGAATTGCATTATTGACCCCATACTTGGGAAAATGATAGTCAAATGATTATTTAACAAAAATTTGGAGTTATATTTGATGTGGAGTGCTCTAATTGTCCATACAAGCCCACCAAATTGAAGCCAAAAATCATCTGTCGAAGATGCATTTTCGGCGGTGTTAGATAATTTGCATATTTCTCCAAAATACTTTGATATTTAAACAAACCAACTATACTGTGGTTCTTAGGAAACATTACCCTTCCGGACTTGAAAGTATGAGGGATATCGATTTTTCAAAGTTTGCCACCACTTGTTTGATTCTTAGAGATATCTACTCTTAAGCAGTCTAAGAATACAGAAATATCCAACAAGCAACTGAAAGCAAAAGTTCGAAATCTGCAACAGCAATTACGTCGGTGCAAGACCAAAATCGCCAATATGTCAGACATAATAAAGAACTTACAAAATTATCTAATTATAAAAACAGAAATTGCAGACCGTTTACACAAATCATTTGACAAATTGCAGCTCTCAATTTTTCATAATGCCAAAAACAACACCTTGACCTCACCCTGTGGTAGAAGATACACAGATGATATCAAAGAATTTTCCCTCACATTATATTACTATTCACCCAAAGCCTATGAACATGTGAGATCAGTCATACCTTTACCTAATCCATCATTGATAAGAAAATGGTCAAGCTCTGTCAACTGTGAGCCAGGATTCTTAGACGAGGCATTTCAGTCGTTGAAGGTTGATGCAGAAAAATAGCCCGAGAGGAAGGACTGCTCATTAATGATTGATGCAATGTCAATACGGAAACAGACTTTGCTGGAACCAAACAAAGAATGCTATTCTGGATTTGTTAACTATGGTCCAATTCCAACAAACAACCCTGACACTGTAGCGACAGAGGCACTAGTATTTCTTTTGGTAGGATCTCATTCCAACTGGAAGTGTCCAATTGGTTACTTTTTGGCAAATAAGATGACTGGCATTACCCAAGCAAAACTGGTGAGATTGGCATTGGAGAAGGCAGCTGATGCTGGACTGCAGAGTTTGGTCCATCACAGCCGATGGAACTTCAGTGAATATTTGCACTTTCACACAACTGGGTTGCACATTTGGCACTAAATATGACTCCATGGTCATCAAATTTAAACATCCATCCCAAGATTACTATGTTTATGTAATCCTAGACATTTGCCACATGTTGAAGCTTGCAAGAAATGCATTGGGTAGTATAAAATCCACTTATGATAAATATGGTGGTGAAATCCAGTGGTCATTTTTCCAACAATTGTATAATCTCCAAGAAGCTGAAGGATTTACCTTGGGCAGCCCAAGCTTGTGAGACTGGCAGCCAAAACATTAAGTTCTTCAGTGGCTGATGCCATAGAAATTCTAGATGTGTCAATGAAATTACCTCAGTTCAACAACAGCCAGGCTACTGTTAACTTTACTCGAATAATAGATAGAGCATTTGACATACTCAATTCAAGAAATCCTATGGGCAAGGGTTACAAGCAACCCCTCAGACCACAATCTAGAGGCACTTGGGAAGATATACTAAAAAACACAGCAGACTATTTACTGAGCCTGGTGACATTAACAGGTGGACAGAAAAAACTGCTGTCAACCCACAATCGAAAACCATTTATTATTGGTTTTTCAGCAACAATCAAGTCAATAATTGAAATGCCAGATGAAATGTTCAAACCTCCCTGCAAATCCATTCAAGTACATTTTGACATATAAATTCTCACAGGATCACATTGAATTGTTATTTTCCTGCATAAGATCTAAAGGTGGTTGGAACAATAACCCAAACAGTCTACAACTGAAATATGCACTAAGAAAAATGTTATTCAGAAATGCAGTAAAGGCATCGAAAAATTCAAATTGCATCGAATTTTCAGATCTCTCCTCTGGAATTATTCCAATTTTTCATAAAAGAAAACATAGTGCCCCATTGGTTGAAGAAGATATGTCCACTGCAAACAATGGCCTTACCCCATCTGAACAAATGCTGGCTCAACAGTTAGAAGAGAAGCAGCATTCTGAATTCGTTGAAAATGTTCTGTACTACATTGGGGGATTTATTGTGAGAAAGCTAGTCAATTCAATTACCTGCACATCTTGCAAAAACTGTCTCATCTCACATTCCATGTCAAGTCCTCTGCGTTCGACTGACCATGATTACTTAGGTTCAAGACCTGATAATCAACGTGCATCTGCCTACACACAGTTTGTTAAGGCCAAATAAAAATAATAGTTGGTTTCAGGTTTCCGACCGACCTGTCAAAAATATGACCGACCATAAACATTTTATTGACATTTAAACGTTTAGACTGAACATTGTTGACATTAAATATTTAGTTGTTGCTCGTTTCCTTGCATGTCAAGTTTTATATGTACGCAGGCGAAAACTTGATGTAAAAACAATAAAAACTAAGAGTTTATAATGAGTTTTAACTTATATTTATTGCATACTAATTGAGATAAAATACTTTTTTAAAATAAAATGTTTTTCCGACCTACCTACCCATATAAAACATGGGCTGTGAAACCTGAAACTAACTATTATTTTTATTTGGCCTAACAAGGGAGGTTTAACATTGCCATCAACATCGGTCCTTTCTGTGCTTAAGCACGCCGATATTGTGTCACAGAATAAAGATCAGTACCAGAAGGGCCACTAGCGTGCAACGTGAAGCAATTTTTTTATGCAAAAATGTGCAGTTGACTGGCCAGAAGGCGGGGCCTCCGGCCAATACAGTGCGTTTATTGGCCAGAAAATGTAATCGACTGGCTAGGAAGATGGCGGCCAGCGCCTCAGAAATTTCAAAGCTTCCGACGTAAGTGGCCCTTCTGTGTGGATCTTTATTCTGTGATTGTGTTCAAAGCTTGTGTAAGCAAGGATGGACGACAAATCAGTTCCAGCGATCGACTACGAAGCAAAATGATTTTAGAAATTAGCAATTACTTCTTTGCGGACAAATCATCTTGACCAACCCTGTTTTCCGATCATGATCCTGGGATGAATGATATGGATGATGACCACAAGGTTAAATTATAATCAAACACACGGCTGATCGATATTTCACTCTTCGACTTTTCACCTATGGAAAGCGACATTGCGAATGTGTCCTAGAAGGAGCGAAGCCAAGCGACTGACATAAGTCGACAAAAACTAATTTTGTTTAAAAATCAGTAAACATACGATACATTCAAGCTTGACAAATATACATATGTTTATACTTATCTTATTATTAACGTTTCAAATTGAATCATAATCGTTTCACCGCATGAACATAGTTGAATACAATACTGTGAATGTTCAAATATCAATGTATTCATGTCCATTTTCTGCATCTTCTATGTTGTATTTGTGTGTTGAATCGTCCTCGTTGTTTGCCGATTTTACCTTTCCTTGATAATTTCATGCTTTCAAATATACTAAGTGACGTAAATATGCAAATTCAAAGCACAAATGCTAAAAATGACAATGCAAAACATTTTGGACGGTCTTCGATTACCAACAAACCAAATAAAATGAACGTCGGGGGGCATGGCGCAAGCTAACATGCAGTCGTTTCCGGGGGGGTTGACAAATGTTAGCGATATGTTTGGCTTCAACCAATCATAGGACGAGATTATAAGAGTTAGTGTTCCAGATTTATTTTAGTTCAATGACTTCATGTTCGGAAAATACAATGGTTTTGTCAGCAAGGCGAGGGTTTCTGCATGCATGTATTTTCTAGTTTAAATATTGCAATTGCATACATAACAAAAGAGATTATAATTTCTCATATGAATTAAATAACAGATTTGCTGCTCCAAATAAGTTTTTTCTATACATTCATAAGGCAAACATTACATTTCAGCAGCAGATAGAGCTTTTTGCTCTGGTTAAAAAATATCCAGCCAGTTAACGAAATATTTTTATACACTACAAGGTTTTGTGGTGGGTGTTTATAATATTTCGACTTGAAATAATAGGACAACACATTCTAATATCGATATAAACTAATTGCACTGTTTCGTATTCACATTCAAACGCATGATCATTTCAAGTAAAAATATTATAGACACTGGGCGTTCTTATACTAGAGACGATAATATCGTCTGAGACGATGTTATCGTCTTCAGACGACATTAACGTCTAGTGCAAATACGGTAAGTAGGGCAGACGACATTATCATCAAACGACAATAACATCTTCAGATAAGGGCATCTGGAAGACGCTCTTATACACGATATCGTCCAGCACGTTAAAGTCATCTGGTATAAAAACGAGTCGGCGTGACAGACGCGAGTTTAAAAACTACAAATTGGGCTGATTCAGCTGAATGAGATCGAGGCTCCCCACAACAACAATATGCCGCCCAAAGTACGTAAGGTCAAGAACAAGGAGATCCGTGGTGCAAGATGGAGTTTAACCCAGCTTAAATTATTTGCAGCTGTTCTTGCGGATGACCAGAATGAATTTGCCTTTACGTTGGAGTCTTTAGCGCTAAAAAAGTTGGCCAATATTCATGTATTTGAAAGCATTAAGAAAGAATTTGATAGTCGTGTACACCATGAACAACCTGAAACCGAACAACCAGCCAGTTCCAAGGCTAAAAAGCATGAAAAGAGCATTGACACATCAATTGTTAAACTGCGAGCAAAGTATAAATGGATGAAAGACAAGTGGCGACAATATACAGATAGAGCAAAGTCAGGTAGCGGGAAAGCAGCCATTGACAAGCCACAGTGGTTTCACATAATAGATCTGATATTTTCTGAAACCAATACAAAATTAAAAAGCAGATGATCTTATGTCAAGTGAAAACGAGGGAGATAGTGATGGTGAAACGAACGATGAGCTTAGAGACGAGATAGTGAACGATAGAAATCTTGTTGGAAGTCAGCAGCCAAGTCCTTTATCAATTCAGTCAAACACCTCTTATGATGGAACAACATCAGGAAGCGTTGAATTAATGGCCTCTTCAGATGAAGAGGATCATCAAACAGATCACAGGTAGTGTATTATATTAAACCATTGTTAAATGTTAATGTACAAATCAATTTAGGGAGTGGTCATTATTTATAAGTGCAAATGGGAGGGGCAAACGAAGTTTTACCCTTATAAATAGGGGGGGGTTAAAAAAGTTTTAAAGCAGAGACAGGGGGGTCAAAAACGTTTTTGAACTTAAATACCATGTCCAGAGTTCTGTTTTTTATAATCACAAATAGCAAAAAGAAGACTCTGAAAATGCCATTTCCAATGATCTACAGACTCGGCGCCAACTCGAGACTCGTCGCCAACCATGGGAGTGCCTCATGGGAGTGCCTCGTGGGAGTCGCACCCACTAAGTTTAGCAAGCTTCCTACTCCCGAGTGACCCAGCTGTGGTATTTACATAAACATACCATGCAAGTACACTTAACTGATCAAATTTGGTCTATCAAAGCACAATGTAATGCTGTATATCCAAAAATCTGTTTCAGAAAATGCTCACATTTCAGTCCTAGGTGTGGAAAAATACAAAACATTTTCTGGGGGAGAATTCCCCAGACCCCCCTACTAGTACATACGATATCACACCAAACTTTTTATCACCAACACCCATCTGCCATCTCTCCACACTCTGTGCACAGTAGTATGGTCCCTTTTTGTAAATGCCCATCCCCCAGACAAGTTCTTAAAAAAAGCCCTGTGTTCAAATCATTTTGCTGTATGAAGACAGGTCTTAGGACAAATGTTGCATTGCAAAATAGTAACAC